TATTCGAAACTCGGATAATTGAGAAAACGGGGTTTCGAATAAAATTCGAAACTCGAATAATCCAAAAACAGGGTTTCGAATATTATTCGAAAACTCGAATAATCAAAAAACGGGGTTTCGAATAGATTTTATTCGAATGTTTTATTCGAATGTTTATTCGAATTCGTATTCGAATGTACTCCGTATTCAGATTATTCGACTTTGTTGCAGAGACAGATGCTGAGTATCAAGCTCACTTCGTCCGCGTTTTTTTTCGCAAAACTTGGTAATGCATCTTTTGCAACCGGTATACCTTTGAACTGTATGGAGAGTCGCATTCTTCCAACTGCTTGCGACAGTAAAAAAAAATCATAAGTTTAATTGATGTTTTTTCGATCAGTGAGATTGTTCGCACTGCTATTGGCACCAAATCAGCAAAGAAGATATCAAATTCAAGCTCATGTTCTGAGTTCATACTGAATTGAAATGGCTGTTCTTCTTTTTTTTTGCATTTCTCATGCTTGCGATAAGCAAAGCCCACACTAGTGAGCACTCTTGCTCGCATAAATCATTTCAAAACTGCCTACTCGTTACCTTGGAGTTTTTTGCGAATTGGTGTATATTGAGTAAAGGACATCGCAGTTGTAGTGCAGGATTAGACGGTTTAGATCGCCGCACGCGAATTGCCAGTTACGAGATATCTTCAGATGTAATGGCAGTTTACCACAAATGTTTAGCGTGTACAACATACTAAAATGATAGATGCCCTGCATTCTGTACTTTCAGAATAGGTTTTGGACAATTTGAGTACTGCCATACCACGTCGCCACTGAAATGCCTGCAGTATGCCCGGCGTTATAGGGACATTCGTGCTCGCTTCGCGGAGGAAATCACATGCCTTCGTCTACGACTAGCGTATAACACACAGGACGAAAGTCTCCGATGAACAGGCAATGTATCGTAGCATTTGTGGAATTTAAGTGCATATGTGGCCACCTTATGGCTTCAAAAGATCGCACACCTAACGCTATGAATCCGAACAGCTCGTTAGGTGCTCACACCAAGTTGCAATGTTTCTCATTTTTGAATTTTAGCTCCAGCCAATTTTATCTTTACTCTGCTAAACGTCTTTGAAATCCAGTGGAAGGCTGACAAATAAGGTCTGCTGTCGAACAAAGCCGCAGGATCAAGGTGTATAAATGCGGTTCTTACCCGTGCGGTGCATAACGCGCAAGGATCACGAAGTGCAGCCGCTTACACGACACGCGCGACCGCTCAAAGCTGGCTGGTGCACCTTCACGGATTATGGATAAAAACTTACTTTATCGATTTTATCGATTTTTGGAGAAGTTTGAGCTGCGGGGCTGGAAGTTGGTAGAAGGGTAAATGAGGGCGCTGATTAAAAATAAAATTCACCATCAATTTTACCGATTTTTGAAAAATCTTGAGTTAGGAGTTGGTATAGGGGATACTAGGGGGCCGATTATAATTGGATCGGCTTTAGCCAGATATGTCGGCAAGTTTGAGATGTGATTGCTTTAGTTATTCGATAAATCATTCGAATATTTATTCGAAATTCGACTTCCAATGTTCGAATATATTCGATATTCATTCATTCGATATTTTTGATTTTCCGAATATATTCGATATTCATTCATTCGATATTTTTGATTTTCCGAATTTATTCGAAATTCATTCATTCGATATTTTTGATTTTCCGAATTTATTCGAAATTCATTCATTCGATATTTTTGATTTTCCGAATTTATTCGATATTCGTTTATTCGAGATTTTTTATTTTCGAATTTATTCGATATTCATTCATTCGATGAAAAATTATCGAATTACCCAAGTATAAAGTAGACGTAATTGACCACTCAGATAATCGATGGGGACAGGCGGTCCGCAAACTTGCGCTTTTCTGCAAGCGGTCAACAGAATTTTGGGACGTGGCCTAACCTTCAGCTGGCGGCACTCCCTTTACGGTGGCATATTCTGCCAGCGGGCAGCAATACAGCATTTTCTGCAAGCGCTCGGCAAATAATTTCTTTCAGCGAGCGCTGGTCAAACTTTCAGTGAGCGCTCGGACGCTTTTTAAGCAGTTTCGGGCATACGCCGAGCACGGGTAAGACTCTGCGTGGCAGAGGTGTCACGTTGGTTTAATTACTCAAGTTTGAGGTACTTTCTCCCAGCGAAAGTACCTGGGGGCTGCGCGGTCCTCCACGAAGGACCGTGCGGCCCTCGAAAATTTTGCATATTCTCGCGGAAAGTCCGCGAGAATGCGGCCACTGCGCCGCAGCTAATCTATAAGAAAACCGCGATTATTCTCCAAGCATTTTCTTCCAAATATCTGCAAGCGGACCGCAAGAAATCAGCGAACTATTTTTCCGGTGCCCGCCCGCCCATAAATTGCATGGCCGCCTGTCCCTGGCGATTATCTGAGCACTTGTGGATCATGTTTGGCTTTGTGGGCTACCTTTGCAAAACAAAAACACGCAATAGGAATCGAACCCGGGACCCTCAGCGTACATGGCGAGACACCACCTTTACCACACGACCTCTATTGATCATTGTCGAGTTTCCCCTAGATTCGCCGGTGGAGAAGCCATACGGAAGGAGGCCCTCGTAACTCCGTTCCGAATGATGCGTGGCACCTGGGAACAGCATATTTGGCATCAGCGTACCAGACCGATTGCAAATATATGTGTCTTATTCAGAAAGCGCGAGCTAAGTTAGGTAGCTTCCCTCTTAAGAGATAAAGATTTAGACGATCAATCTTGTATCCGATGCAGCGCTTCATCCTCTTCTCAGAGGATATTAGCAAGTTGGTTGCTGGAGCTTGAATTACCTTATCACGTCTACATTAAATTTTCAATAATTATTGCTTTAGCCTTGAAGCAAAGATCAAGTAGCGTCCAGATAAGGGTAAATCTGGTTTTTTTCGGGCTTCTTATTTATCATTTTTGGTTTTCTGAATGTATACTTAACGAAAAACCTTGGTTTTTTTCCAAACAAACAACATAGTTGCAAGCGACAGTCCAAAAACGATAAAGGAGGTAAAGCTCGACAATATTGCGTAACCTAGTGCGTCACCTGTGCGCAGGCTCGCACTGGTTCCACTAACTATTATATATCTTCCTTGCTCACGTCATGACTTGAGACTTGCGCTATGCTGACCATCGCGAATAAGTCATGAACAATTCATTCATAAGACTCTTCTATGTGAGATCGGCAGCTTTGCGAATATGAAACCTTTCTACGAAAAAGTAAATGCGAATTTCAACCAGTTACTGCATTTATTATAAGTCGCGAAGTCGCCATAGAGGAGAATCCACCATGAGCTACATCTCTAAGCAGTTTTCTCAGTATCTTAGGTAGGAGCTTGAAACTCCAATAATCGTTCATACTGAATTTAACGCTATCTTAGCATAAAATACTTTGTGACTACTTTCTGGGCCAAAATCGTTGTCTCACATTTATATGTAAAAATATGAATTTGAGAAAGTCTAATAATGGACTCAGCTTTGCGAGTTCGAAGTCTAGTAGATCCATTTAACTCTTTTTGGTTTTAACTCCTAGGATTCACGCAACATATCCGCTCGAAGTTTTGCATGGTGAACTTGCAGCCGTAGCGTACCCATGCAAACTCTTGGTGCGAGACCTCGGCTGCGACACGCTTCAAATTCTGTGAGAAACAGTTATGCATACAGACAAACAGAAGACAACCCCATAGAGCATCTGAACAACAATCAGGGATGATTGAACGTCTGAAAGCAGAAAGTTCAGAGAAGAAGTGCAGTTGCTCTTCCTTCAGTTATTGCAAAATGTCACTATTCTCGAAAAATGAATTCAAAACGCTTATGTCTGATGGAAATACCTTAAGATTCCCTTGATGTTATCTCTATCCAAATTCGATTTGGCGTCTTCGCGACGACCTTGTAGAAATTTGGGAAAATCGGGACTTGACCCTTGAAATACATATAGGTACAACTTAGTGATCTTCTAGAAGCTTGCTGGTTGATTCGCAGTAGAAATATGAACACTCAAAAAAGGTAAAAAGCTACATTGAATACTACCAAAGTCTGTCGGGTATCTTCAACCAGGATGTTCCTTCGAAAAAAACTAATAAGGAAAGCTACCTAACTTACGATTTTTTATGACCCTACACAAAAAATTCAAATTTTGAGTGATTTTGGTTTTGAGCTTCTATCTCCTTCATTCGTACGAACAGTTAAGTACAGTTGCAAAAAGCATGAGTTCCTCTCTTGTACAAAATTTAGGTCTTGCAGATTCGTTGAGAATTTAACAAGTTATGACTTTTTGAATTTGGTGCGAAAGAACTTTTGCATTTGCTATTATTCTAAGAAATCATGGGTGTAAGGGTCAAACTTGGCCGTACAGAGCCACTCTCGGTTCAGTGTTGGACCAAAACATGCAACTAGGTGTATTCAAATGGCCCGTACTCAATAGTGAGCTAAAAGGGCAATAATGTGCATAATCTCGCAGTTTTTGTGTACGGTTTTTCGCAGTAAAGCTGCTCACAACTTCGCCTACAAAGGCGTTCTGCAGATAAGGAAGGCAGACTTAAAACAGCGTTCTATGCTGCATCGAATAGTATGCAGCTTGTTTAGATTGGCCATTTCGACTTCTGACCATTCCCTTGTGAGCTAGTTCATGTAGCTTCCCTTGTGACTTACGTTTTGTGCTTTATTCAAAAGGGGAAGATCTATCAAGGGGAAGCCAAGGCACGGTTTCTAAATGACTGTCTAGTAATCTTCCGGACAACAGTCGACTGTCTTGTGTTTAAACTACTCGCACGAAGTGCTTCACTATGAGACGAGTGGATTCCTTCCTCATTAAGGACGCTTACTGCAACGGCACCGCCAATATCAGGAGAACAAAGCAAATAACATAGGAATTTCGTGCAGGTGAGCCAAAGTATGAACGTCCGGAGACGGTCGCTGGTGACTGCTCATCTTGCCTATTCTATTCAAGTGATTCGCACTCATATATGAACCTACACCTTGGTCTTCATACTCTTGTTTTACCATAACAGATAGTACAAGTGCACGACGTTTTCCAGCTACAGGTTCCGTTGTTCTAACCAAAAAGTCTCCATTTGCTCTCAGCATTTGCTGAAAAATAGTCTCTTCCCAAATCAGGCAATGCAGGGCGCAAAGTACCTTGATGTCTTCTCGGGGTAGCAAGCCATGATACCATTGTTCAGCAGCAAGTTGCTTGTCTACGGTAGCCATCTTCACTGACCTAGCTGCGAGTGTAGTGAACCATGAATGGGGTTCACTCAGTTCATTGCTTACGTGGTTTATACTCTTGCTAGTTATCAAACCAAATCTGCATTGGGAGGCAGTCTTATTAAAGTGCCAAAAGAAAGGGGAGTCGACCTAGATTTATGCGATTTATGCGATCTATGCGATTTACGCACATAAATTTAGTTCGACTCCCCTTCATTTTGGCACTCGAAACGACTGCCTCTCGATGCAGATTTGATTAGTAGCAAGACTAGTAGCAAAAGTAATATGTACAACACTTATAAGAAAACGAGATGTGACACAGGTGTTGCTTAGTTAAACATTGACGCCACTTAACACACATGGTGTGTCAAGCAAAGACTACCGCGTGGGACCGCTTGACACACCATGTGTGCCAAGGCTTGAATTTTGTTGAAATAACTACTGTACTTTGATAAACACACTCCACGAGCTTTCTTCCCGAGTCTAGGGGAGACCTTTATCGTTATTTTCAGCCTTTCAGATCTACTGTAGGCGTACTGTTGATGACAGTATGCGCATATATTTGAAAAATGCGGACTGGTCCGTAAAAGGCCTTGGTCCCAGAAGGCAGACAACCAAAAATTTGCATGGTCGTCAATGTGTTAACAGAAATTCAAACTTTACTTTGCACTTTTGTCTAGGCTATGTCTTTTCTATTGCATCAAAATATGCATAAATCTCACGCGGAAGTGATATTTAGGTTTGATACGTGATAATATAGCTTCTTATTAGAAAAGGATCAAGGATTCGGCATCTTCAATACTTTCTGCGGGCATGCTCCGAACGCGCTCTACTTCATAGTAGGAGAGGCAATCGTATGCGTGCGAGCCTATTACAGTGAGTTGCGGGGCCAGCCGATTACCAAGCCAGTGCTTTCATCCTCCCAGATTCTTTGGTGCCAATTTACCGTCCCCGAGGGGTGGAGGGCTTGGTTGGCCCAGGGGCGAGATCGAACCTGCTCCAATCTGGCTATAGTGGAGCCTTATACCACTACGCCACTCGTCCTCGGCTTCTTATTACAGTGATTCAACAAGTGAAAGCCGCAGTAAAAACATTTGGACCGGCTTCTATTAGGCTATTTATTTGAAACGTTTGTTCAAAAACCAACAAAATCAAAAATTTATTGAAAGTCTGCCTATAATGTCTTTTTCGCTGCACGACCTTTTGCCGCCTTGTTGCCGATTTATCGATTCCTACATACGAAGGCCAGCGCGCCAAGTCCCGAAGAAGTCACCTAAGTGTGTACTAAGCAAATGCATACGGAAGCTTTGGCTGTGCACTCTGTTGCCCCTTACCGCAGCAAAAAAAAAATAAATAATGACGTGAGCGAGCGAGAAGGCTCGAAGACAGTGAAGATTGTGAGCTCTATGGGAGTAAATTGTAAGCTCGCTCAGCATTCACAAATCAATTCTTTGGGATTACGATATAATATGTACTTGAAAAAATGAAAAAAATACTTTTGCGTAACTTATGGGAACCATAGTTTTTTATGATAAATAGTGTAGAACGCCTGACAATGTCGAAGAGATATTTCATAAAGTTATCGGAGGATTTTCACGTTGCAGATTGATTGCCGAAATTACCGCTGTCTTTTGTAAAGAAAGGTCTGTAAGTGGCATGTAGGCCATGAGAAAACAACTTAACTCGTTGCCAATTTTGAATGTTAAGCTGTCTTTTGTAGGATACATCGTCGTGAAGTTCGACTGTTTTCGAGGTGGCTTTCAATGGAGATTGTAGAGAGAATTTGGTTCAAAGATGATTCTCAGCAAAAAATTAAAAGTAAACAATTGATGAGTTTCATGTTGCACAGAACTCGCAAGATGTTGTGATAAGATGAAGATCGTGTCATAATTTTTTTGCGTCTTGTTTCAATGAAATCATCATACCTTCACAGAATCTCTGACTTAACCTTTGGGCGTACTGAAGATATTTACATTTTCGGGCTTGCGAAACTTCTCAGATTTCGGTTTTTGAATCATTATGTGCTGAAGCTGGTGCGGAACCTATACGATCTCTTAAAAATCCTGCTTTGATGCATCTTGATTAGCTTCGCATGCATCAACATCCCCGCCGAGGAGAGATCGCAGCTTAAACGCCGAGGAGAGATCGCAGAAAGTTTTCTATACTAAAGCACCAGATATCTGGATTTCACGCTTTCTATCTCTACCTATCCGTAAGTAATCCTATCAACCTTCACTACGAGCATATTGAACAGAAGCGAGAAGCTGTACATGCCGCATACTCTAGCTTTTTGTGTGTTCCCCTGTTGATCCCCAGCGGTCGACCGTCTAGAAGTCCTTTTTCTTTGTCAAAGTAAGCGAAAACATTCCAAAGTTGCATCGATTATCTAACCCAGCAGTACCAAGCAAAGAATGGTCAGAACTTAAACCAGCTTTACCAAACATGCTGTATATCATCGAACTCGTCTTGAAACGCTGATCACAAATATATGTTTATTATCTGCCAAGCACCTATCTGGAAGGAGTTATGGGCGTTGAAATGTGCGATTTGTCAAGTGTTCTGTGGCGCATTTTCCACGAAATAGGTTTCAAAAACACTTATTTAGGGTGTTAGTAAATGTGCTTCTACCTTGTAATTGAAATAACCATGGCCATTGCAAATGCGCCATCAGGCTGCCTTCTAAGGAAGTATAATTGTCGAAACTCAAAGAATCATATTTAAACGCTCATAACTCTTCCCAGATAATCGCATGGCAGATATAAAGAATATATATATTTGGAACCAATATTTCAAGGCGAATCTGATGATATATTTAGCCTGTTTGGAATGGCTGAATTAAGCTCTGACCATTTCCTCATAAGCATGTTGCTGGTAAGCACAAATGATGTTCTGGAATTATGGAATTTGCGATGAACCACATGTCGAAAGTTGGGGTTTATCGAAAAATTCGAAATTTTAAGAATTCATTTGTTCTTATCAGCAACATGCTTAGCACTGTCTGTATAGATAATAAGTACAACTTTGGAATATTTTCATTAACTAGGGATGAAAAATTACTCTGAAGAAAAGCAGGTCGGGCGCTAGGGATTATCTTACCAGGGACTCATACAAAAAGCTGGAGCATGCAACTTGTACAGCTTCTTGCCCCTGTTCAATATGTTCATAGTGAAGGATGGTGAGAATACCTGAGGACAGGTTAAACGGCGTGAAACCCACATATCTGCAGCTTCAGGATGTGAAAATTTTTTAAGCTGCGATCCGGCGGGGATGTTAATGCATGCGGCACTTAGAATCATGAAGTGTGTGAGAGCACGCTCAAGAAAGAGGTGCAGGGCCCTAGCAGCCCCTCCCAGCAGCCACCACTCCTGATGAATCAAGGGATAGTCAAGCCGAGTTTGCGGTACTCACTAGGAGTTTCAAGAAGATTGCTCACAGTCAAATGTCGAAAAAGATTCCTACCTGGTTTCAAAAATTTGACAGTACAAAGTCAATCTATGTGGCCTCGCTGTCGATTATATAGCCTTAAAACAAAATCCTTCTACGTGACAAGAATGAAGTGGTCGTTCAGTTGCCAAATCTATATAAACTAAGTTTCTGCTTTCATATCACTCATTGTCAAATCTGCTTCTACATGCCGTACCTTTACTGACTTCTGGACCTCCAACTTCTGGGCTTTCCTTAATTTCGGGTAAATAAGCTATAGGTCATTTAGAAAATCGTGACGAAGGATTTGACTGCGGACTTTGCGCCTACAGGAGCATAAAACGCTTAAACAAGAAGACACTCGACGCTCAACTCAGTCACTTCCAGTGTTTAAATACTATCATACTCAAACAAAAAACCACCCGACTAGAAAGAAAAATCAAGAAATTGTGATTTCCGGAAGTGGCTATCGTAACTTACGTTTCTGTGAATAAACTCTGAATAACGCACCAAAGAATGATGCAAATGCTCAAACCTATAACTAGTAAGTATCATGAGGTGAGGGTTGGGCTTGAGGTTTACATACGCGAACGTAAGTGCACTGTGCACTTACGTTTTCGTATGTCGGAGGTAAAGAGTCGGAGTCGCCAAGATTTTTTTAGTGCACTCACATTTTCGATTTGTATGTGACGTGGGAATTGCGAAAAGCGCAAATTGTTACGATGTAACTGATATCAAGCTTTAAATTATAGTTGGACCCAGCGTCCCACAACCTGACAATGAGTACCAAGAGTAAATTGCCAAATAGCTCCAAGCATACTTTCTGCGTTTGGAATTCTGCCTCTTGCCAGAGACGGTGCGCTCGGACCCATGACGTTTGAGATTTCTAGCAAGTTGTGTGGACATTTATCACATTCCCAATAGCTTCTCTGCAGAAGGTTCCATTTGAACCTCGTTTCGAAGTGCATGTGTGAAAGCGAGTTACCAATCCTATCATCGTTCTGCATCACGAAATCGAATTTCTAAAAAACTGAATTCTGAAAAAAAAACTGTGAACTCCTTCTAACGAAATGTTCTCGCAATACTGGAGGAACAATTTTTGTTCGCCTTTTGAATTTTTGATCGAATTGTTGAACCATGACGTTTGACAATCTCACAGTTGTAAGGGAGCAAACGTACAATAACGCTAGTAATTTGTGAAAAACGCACAATCGCCTCATTCATGCGACATCACCGTAGCGTGGCCATATCTCGCTTCCGGTGGACGAATTCTTGGTCCAAGGGCACCATTTGACTCAGCTCGGCGCGGCGCGTCTTCTGATTTACAGAAGTGCCTGGATACAGCAGGAAACCAGTCCACGAATCATTCCAGTTTTTCGCTTACGGTAGGTTGCTAAGCAAGTGCAGTGTTTAGGGACACTGAGTAACCTACCGTAAGCAAAAATCTGAAACGATTCGTGAATCTAGCCACCTTTGTCCGACCGGGTACATCTAAATATCAGAAGACGCACAGTGCCGAGCTTAGTCGATTGGTGCCTTTGGATTAAGAATTCGTTCAACTTTGAAGTGAGATATGGGCACGCCACAGTGATTTCACACGGAGCGGGCAACTGTGCGCTTTTTCACAAATTACGAGCGGTGCTGCATAAATAGAAAGCTGACAATCCAGGCTCATTCTTTTTTGGAAGTTCTTTGGGAGGGTGCACAATTTCTGACTACGCTTTGCGATAGTCAATTGTGTGCTGCTATAAGTACATATGTTGTTCGGATAAGAATGTGTCATATGTGTAGAGTCCATATACCAAGCATTCATTGAACGTTCCCAATAGAAAACTTCATTGAAACGAAAACATGCGATGTGCAACCATTTTTATTAGGTTGTCTACTTTGCTGTATCGTTTAACATCAGTGCACCCATAGTCAATGCTGTAGCAAGACTGGCTAGAGACAATAGTGAGAATACGATGCACAGTACTTTGAAATACGGATGTCCTCGTTTCCTGAAGAGGGTAATTGTTGTTAATGAGTAAAAATGACTGGCTGGGTTGGAAGCACTAGCACTTGGCAGAGAAATTTCTTTAAAGATCATAGAGAAATTCAGTGAATACTTGCTTGAAATGTGCTGTCTTCCTTTTCTTCTTCTTGCTCTTTTTCTTCTTCTTTTTACCTTCACTCGCTGAAATTAGTAGACCTTCTTCGATATTCTAATTTTGGTTATCTACTCCCTCACCTCCACTTTCTCCCGCTTCTGGAGGTGCACCACCCATTTGACTGCCTGCCCCCGATGCCCCGCTCTCTAATTCTTTCTTCTCGTCTTTGTCATCAGCGCCTTCTTGATTCTGCAAAAAACTCACATTGGACCTTGAACAGCTCATCTGCTTGATTCCTCTTCGTCTGATTCGTGCTCATGGCAACATTTTGCAGAAAAATGCTACAAAGTTACCGGAGGTGGAGCTCCATCTGCCGGGGGTGCACCTTGACCACTCGGGGTAGCTTCTGCCATTGTTGATATACAAAGAGGACCGCTTTGGTGGACTGCCGAATAGTAACTGAAGCAGACTACAAAATGTTTGTTACCGCACCCTATTCTTATTGTTGGTACAAAACTTATCTCATTCCGGTGTTTTCATTTTGGCATACGGTTGCATTTCACTTACGCAGAGCTTTGTTTTATTGGTTGAACGAAAGAAAATAGCGTAGATTTTTTTCAAACGCCAAACTTGGGTTCAGTCTGCCAAATTCCTCGGATTTCAAGTATTAACAACTCAAAGTTCTAGTAACCTATCTCATAACCCAATAATTATGAGTCAATTTATTGTATCCTCTTGCAAATCGAGATGAATCTTCTAAAGGATTTTCTAGAATCTCACAACTCCTTCCAGAACAATACCAATTTTCATGCGCACAAAACCAACATCCAACTTTTGCACCAGGATACCATGTGATATGTTTAACCAGGCGTGGAATGCATTTTCTCATTGTTGAGTTGTCTAAATTTGCGTAGACATGACTGCTAGGTCTACTCTGTCTAGGTCTTGTAGGCAGAATTAGACGATCAAAGGCAGCAGCATTAAGTCTGCATATTTGTCAGAGCATAAAATGTCCAGAGTCAATCAAAAGGTGATTGGCAGGTTTATTGCATTTATTACGAGAACGGCCTTTGATGAGAATTTTCTGTACCAAATGGTCTCTGCTTAAGTATATCGAAATTTATGTCAAATCGGATTTAATTTTTCATCAACTAACTCCTCGTATTTTACTGAGTTAGTTGAAGTATTGCTATTCTCACAGAATATCGATGTAAACGCCTCCTGTATACGGCAAGTCGATCTCATCGACATTATATTTGTACAATCTACTTGTGTTTTTACATTTGGCATTTGCATTTTGTTTCTCTTCCCTTTTGTAGCAAATCCTATAGAAATCAAAATTTCCACTTTTTCCACGATTTTGAATGAGAAAATTTGGCAGAAATTTCATAGCATATGGAAACACTACGGAACGCAGAACATTCAATAAGAATGTGAAAGCCTGTGTAAACCTGTGCCACTTACTAAATCTCTTCGAATACAATTGTCCTGAAAGTTCTCGGTTTTGATAGCTCACCAAAACTTACGAAACATCTACCAGTAAACGACTTAGGTATCGTTGGATTCAGATTTTCATCTGATGGCACAATTTTTCTCTGATCTATGCAGTCATTGCGATGTTATCGCCAATAGCTTTTTGAGCAGTTGAACAAAGACGCCAGAAAAGCCGCAATTAAAAAAAATTTCATCCCAATAATTTCAGAAAGCGTTAGAAGCTGTTATGTAGAGTAGCTTTGGCTGCATAACACTCATTACAAATGTTCAAGGTCTGTAATAATTATTTGTTCGGCGAAATCTTCGACTTTTTGGGCATGTTTAGCGCATAGGAAGGGCGATTTTAAAAAGCTAAAGTCTCAAGGCAAATTGAGCTTGATTGTTTTGGACAAATGATGTTTAAGGACGACCTTCAACACGCTAGACTTCGAATGCTTCATGATTTTGCTGCGGTGTTTCATGACTTCATCAGAGATCGAAGATTTCTAAGGAAATAATTATTTCAAGCTCCAAACAGTAATGACAAGAATCTGAAAGCATCACCGTATAGTCTGAGATTTGCCCCATTCGAAAGTGCCTATCCATTTCGAAACTCTGAGATAATTTTTTTTTGGAAATTAGCCGAGCTTTGGGCAGATAGACAGGACGGATTTAGAATTTTGGAGTTAGTAGAGAGCGTTCAGAACATTACAGTGCGTTATGTGTTCATCAGAATGAGAGGGAAAGCTGCTTTGAAAGTATATTTGAAAACGCTTGAATTTTCATTGCACGTTGTAGCCTCTCTGAGAAACCGAAACCTTAAAGCTTGGTACGACCAGTTAAGTAGCTGCAAACTTCCTCTCCGATCAGCTTGTTACTAGCTGCATGCTTTAACAATGGGAGCGATCGATCGTAAAAAAGTGGGACACTTTTTACCTTTCATTGTTTCTTTTTTTTACTAGCGAAAAGAAGTAAGTAGCTTCTGGTGAGCACAGCTTCGCATTTGAAATTCGTTTGCACAAGCTGAGCAATCTAACGCTAGCCTTACTTTTCCATAAATTAGCAATTCAACGATCGGTAAGTGAACGAGCAACAGTGCTCAGCACGCGACACGTATTACTCCATTCATAATGATGAATTTCTCTAACGAGTTTTTAGGAAGGCACATATATGGTATATTGCTATCTTATTGTTTCTGTCATTCTAGCTATTATTGTTCTCAAGATTTTACATGACCATTACTCTTCGCGGCATTCCTACAATTTCTGAAAGGTCTCGGTGCTAGAGGTTAGAAGATTACATACTTATGCACAATTAATATTTTCCCGCAGGGTGTGATCTGATATACACTATGCCTTTTTTCCTTTCCTCTACGCCGAAAACTATTGCTTAATCTCAAAGCTGTTCACACAATCACATAGATTTCTTCTTTTTCAAAAATAGGAAAGCTGTAGATGGAGTGAAGTTTGATAATTTCTCTCCACTTCTCTCTCTTTTGATGGTCGAACAGCACTTTTTACTTGCAGACTTGTTTTGGAAAAACTTCTGCAATTTCTGAAAAGAAGTCAAGTTTTTAGAAATAGTACGAGCTCTTGAAAATGTCCCAACCTCCACTGATTAGTTTGTAGTCAGCTAACAAAGCGGAAAAACTCACGGTGGTACGAGTTTCATATTTGAAAAACGTATCACTCAGTTTCCGAAGAGTGGTTCAAAATTTTCTTACTAATTCTTTCTGCACGATTACACATCGATGTGCGATAGCGCGAGCGATCATGACAGATGCATTTTTTCGTTTATAAGGTCAATGCCATGGAGCACATTGGTGCTCATTTGGTGTTTGTGTAATTTTCACTGGTTTTTTTCCAAAGGTGTAAGTGTTTTTGTGCTCTACTGATTGTACTAAATCTCCATCACGATTCATCCAGACAGCTCAAAGAATAGCTGTGATTTACGATTTCAGGTTTTCTACTTTGTTAAATAGTTTTCGTCACTTGCTTTACGACCTGGTATGAAAGCAAGGTTTTCAGTGCACAAGGTCCGTTCCACAGCTTTACTGGAAATTTTCGGACAGTACGTTTCGCGTAGTCGCAAAAGGAATTGTCCTCTTCATTTGGGAACTGCAATTTTGTTGTGAAACTTGTAGAGTCATACTTCTTTTCAAAATCATGTTGTACGCATGAAAAAGTGAAAGCTTTTGAAGCAAATGCTCATTCGAAAAACAAATGAATGCAAAAAATGCCATTGAAGTCTTACGCAGTGCAAGTTGCATCGCGGCAATTCTCAATGGGTTTTGCTTAAGTAATTTCCTCATCTCACCATTCAAATGTGGCTTATAGCTGCGGTTCTCAAAAATGTACTGGGGGTTCTGCGTGATCGTGAGAGTTAGTGAGTCTGTGCTATCAGATGTTAGCTTCCAATTACTGAAACGATCTTGAAAAGTACGGGATTTTTAACTACTTTGAGGCCTTATAGCATCTTTCGTGTGTACTTATGAGTGTTTTGTATACCCTCACTCCTAGAAAGTCGTGCCTTGCAGAGGACATTTTGCTATATGTGCAAGAGACATTGTGCTGAACACTGCAGATGTGCAACTCCAGTTTTTGTATTTTAGCAAACACTTCTTATTCAAGAGTAGGCGACGGACACAGTATCCAGCCACTAACAAGGGAATGGTTAGAAATCGAAGTGTGCAATCAAGACAAGCTGCATACCATTAGATGCAGAATAAACCTCTGACTTTCAATCTGTGTTCTTTATCTGCTTAACGGCTTTGTGGACGAAGTTATGAGCCGTTAAAGGCCATTACTTTGATAAGAAATCGTGCATGCAAAGCGCAAATTTGGCGGTACAGAGCCATTTTCGGCTTGATGCTTGGTCAATTCTACAGTTAGCTTTATACTTTTGAAGCCTAAAGGTGATCCAAAAGTGCGATAATGTGCATGTGCTCAATTTCGCTAATTTTGTGTACGATTTTTTCGCAATAAAACTGCTCACAACTTTGTCCACAGAGGCGCTAAGCAGATATGGAATACAGATTCGAACTCAGCGTTGAAGGCTGCATCGAATGGTAGGCAGCTTGCCTTGAATGGCTACTTCGATCTGACATCCCTTGTAAGATCAGAGGGGTTTCGAGTGGGACTTTGCATCTTACCTGATCGCTAGACCATGAGGTAATTTGAATACTGTAACAAAATGAGCTTCACTCAACATTCTAGTAATAATTTGTGTAGCTCTCATGAAAATGTGAAGCTGTTTTGGTTTAAAATTCACTTCAATACCCGAGCGCAAAGAAAACCATAAATGTTTATTGCCTTGCATAGAAACGAGCTCTAATTTAGGTTTCGATGGAATTTTCGAAGATAGCCATATTATCGGGGCTCTGGATGGTGGCTTTGACATTCACTTGGGCGATGTATAACAGCAACTCCATGTTTACCTTTAGCAGTGTTCACAAACTTCAGAGAGCGGAAGGTGCGGCATTAATACAGAGTGTCCCAAAAAGATGTGCACACTGTTTGTTCGTTAATAACTCTCTTGCTTTCACGTCTTTTGCCGAGCTTGAGGTATCGATCTGTAGAGAGAGGATAAACTTAGATTTACCGTATGGAGCAAATCACCAATCACTCTTCGTTACTGTAGGATCACGGTACGAACTTTCAGCATACAGCATCACTGTGGGATAAGCCTTTTGATGAAATAATTTCGAAAAAATCTAAAAATTGGTGTAGCAAGGTTTTCAGGCGTGCTGATTTCCCTACATAACTTCCCAACAGTTTTTCGAGCTTTGCTGATGGCGTATGCACATTTCTGACGAACATTGAAAAATCAGTTGTCATCCTAAATCTGAAATAACTCTTGAAAGAAACAGTGTACTGACGTGTAATTTTCATATTTAGAATCAGCGACTTCGATTAACCCATTCAAGAGTTTCTGGCTTGTTTGGCTTCTTTTCTGAGGCAAAATACCGCTTTCAATGGCTTAAAATCCTCCTCGAAATTTCTACCGTAACCCTACAGTAATGAAGAGCTGCTGATAAATTGCTCCATACTGCAAATCTAAGTTTAACCTCGCTCTACAGAATGATACCTCAAGCTCTGCAAAAGACACGGAAACAAGAGAGTTATTAACAATCAAACAGTGTGCACATCTTTTTGGGACACCCTGTATAACAAAATCAAGTGGATTTTAGGGACAAATGAAGAGGAGTTTTCACTGAGTAAAAAGTTTTAGATCCATGCTCCGGTGACATCATCGAAAAAATCCAAAACGCTGACTACGAAGTGGCACCTTTCAATGAGAGTAAGGTGGTCCAGCCGTTTTATCGATACAGAGAGAGATTTCAGTTGAGTTTAGCATGTATTAACCAACAACTACAGTCAGTGACATCATACAGTCAAATCACTTCATATGATCATATGAACCCGCACACACCGCCCATCTTTGGCGTCCTCATCCTGGATTTACAATCGCAAAAACACAAGAGAGTAACTGATTGCTATCGCTTACATCATTTGAGGTGAATAGTATCTAAAAAGAAAAGAAACCATGGAAAACGCATCAAAATACTTATCTGAAGAGTTGCTTCCTTCAAGAATCCAGGATGCAAACGCCAAAGGTGGACGGTGCGTGCAATGACACACATGATCGTATGAAATGATTCGGCTTTACTTCTTTTCATTCTAGGTAGCACCAAAATATCGACTGGCGGTATGTCAAATAGAAAAAGTGATGACTACAGTTATGGACGCTATATTCTGCTACCTAACGAATACCACGGAATTTATGTTGAATAATCGCACCATCAGCACTGAAACATTTGCGGAGAGGTAAAGAAGCCTTTTTTATATAAACAAGTACACATTCACATTCTAAGCTGATGTTCCCAATGTGTCGCCAAAATTTTCGGCGCCAAATTTCCAGCACTGCCGAAAAACAGTGAAGACTTTGAATTCAAATATATGTCATAGATTACCCTAATCAAACTCTACAAGCACATCTTACGGAATTCTAAAAAACCTCTCATCTAGAATGTGAAAAGTAAAAGCTATTAGTTTTGAAACAAGCAAAAATGTTTTCACAACTTCATATTTTGCCCTGCAGCTGAAAGAATTCAAAGCCAAAGAACCAATTCAAGCTGAAGTTGTTGAGCATACAGTCTTAGTTGTATTTACAAAGATTTACTCTCTAACAAAATACAAAGTTGTATTTGCGAGGAATACATGCGCACTAACAACAACGTTATGTTCAGAAGACTGTGTGACTCCAAACATGCAAATCCTCCTAGTTTAAAAACTTTCTCTATCTGTGAGACATGTAGAAGAGAATTTATCATGACCGATTCCTGAAGATAATGTTGAAAATGATTCAAAAGAAATTTTCTGATCCTTAGGCCCCGGACAGACTTCACGCGACTTAATCATCGCGATCTAATCGCCAAGATTTCCATTCATTTTCATTTGACATTCAAAATTTTCGGGCTGGAAAAGTATCACAACCGAATGCAAGTTGATCGGCATGGAATGATGTTGTAACAGTTGTCTCGTCGCGATTCAGTCGCGACGACCAATTCGCGTGAAGTCTGCCCGGGGCCTTAGGCTCACTAAGCAGGGCCAAATTATCATTAATTATTGATATACTGCGAGCATGTTTTTAACGAATTAAAATCCATCATCGATTTTCATTTTTCAAATTTCCTTACTTGACTATGTTAGAGGCGAAGGCTCGCTCTACTTTCCTGCCAATCTTAAAATGAAAGAAGACTTTTCCAAAAAAATATCGTGTAGCGTACAGATTATACTTCAACTGAGAGAGGATCTGAGATTTCGAAAGATGAAGGAGCCTTCTGATTGGACTACTGCCCTGATGTGCAGCGAAAATCTTTTGCATAGAAAATTAGCGAATGAATTCGTAATAAAACTTAAATGAAACAACAGAAAATTCCTGTCGGCTTTTCTTCTCCCCAAATTTACTATGACTATCTTACGCATTCGTGTGTCAATCAAGCATTCAAATTTTATATTAGCGTGTTATATGGCGGAAAGTAGCTGGCCATGAAAATCACGTACTATACTCGTCGGATTTGCTACATAGAAAATTTAACTGTCTTGTTGTTAGCATTCGAATCTCTTCAAGGCAGGCGCTATATTCCTCGAGGAGTATAACTTGGCGACGATCGATATGCATGAAATACGTGTAAATCCGGAGGTTTTTGTCGCCGATATTGGCGATCGCCAATCGCTACGACTAGCGATCGCCCGTCGCCGATATTAGCGACTGGCGATTGCCAATCTTCAAACAAGTTACCACACGTCAAATCGATACGCATCAAGTAGTCGCCAAAACTGGCGATCGCCATGCTATACTCCTCAAGGAGTATAGCGCCTGCCTAATTGGCTGGAGATTGCTTTGTTTTGAGGTGCAGATGCTAATTTCAGCATCACATTTAGTCGTAAAAAACGCAAAAGCTCTTTAATCATTCTATTAGATCGTCCCGAAAGTAATTTCGCCTCTTTGAGTAAGCGCCACGTTCGGCGCAACTAACTGGAAGGTAACTAACTTACTCGACCTTTTAGAAAGAAATTTATATATTCTGAATCATCTTCAAGCTTCTTTTACTGAGAATTGAATTTGTGTTATTTCGATATCTCAGCACCTTTTTCTTGCAGATTTTTACCTATAGATAGTCTTCTCACGTTTAGTGGTTGCCCGAAAAAGCCTATAATTCGCTTCGGAATGGTGCGCCGTAGCCATGGATAGCATTGCAGTTTTTCATGCTCTTTTAAATGGTGGTATTTGCGTTGCATTAAACCAATGGTTTCTAATATGGTCATGTTTTGCTAGTTTTCAGGATTTTCGCACTGGTTCCACCAATAAGCCCAAGTAATCTGTAGATGGAGCAAGCCTCATAGGATATCTTGTATAGCTTGCTATTGAAACTTTGGTATACACTAAGCTGGTACCATTACGTTGTATAACTGTCTATTTGATAGTAGCGGAGCATCCGTTGACTATCAACAATGAAGAATGCGGGACAGCCGCTGACAATAGTGGTAATGTATCCAATCAACACCAGACCTGAGATTCAAGGATTGCCCACATGAAAGTAGACACCACCAAGTAGGCTATCATGCATAGTAAAGGCGTGTCCTGGCGGCTTAAGTGCCCAGTGAACAGTAATGTTTTTCAATGACAAGCTAGTAGGTACTGGATATAACGTACAAGATGAGTCTGCGATAACAAATGTAGATTAGGTATAGGCTGTACCAACCAGCATCGGTTGTGCGACATCGCGCCTACGGCAAGTTGCGACGGTGCGATGTGACGCGCGCGAACTCTGCTGCGCGTTAAGGCACATCGCACGCGACGGTGCGTCCTCGCAAGGTATGTCAGCGCGAGACCGATGCTGAGTGATACAGCCTATGAGTAATCTACGACAAAATTGATGGTAGCAAATTTCACACGAAATCATTCTCGGGACGATCTAGTGCAGTGTTTTCTTTCATTCCCACAGAGCTTTACTATCCGGTGTGCTCTAGTATTTTAAGCAGCAATGCCGGTTCTTCATTACCCTCTTGATCTTTTCTGGTGTCTCCCACAATCTTCCCTATTTCCTCTCAACTCCTTGAGATAGATACCCCAGATTTTTTAGTTAAAAAGCAAAGAACTCCGGACTACAAACAAAGTTACTTGAGCTTTGGCATCCTCTTGCTTCCCGTAGGTTTCTTACTTATTGTACCTCATTCACCCTTTCAAATTTATGAACAACTTTTCTTATTTCTCGCATAATTCGGCTCTTCCTTCTCCGCTCTCAAATGACCTTTGTTAAGGTCTTGATGGGAAACTGCCTTAAAGCTCTATAACTTAAGCTCACAATTTACAAGTTCTTTCATCCTGTGGTCCAGAGCTGCTAAATAAAGTGCAATCTTTTCTGACAGTGCGTTTAATTCCTCGGTAAGTGATATGTATATCGATAATCAAGGCTGGCGCAGATGTAACGAACTTGCGGAAGGCATATCGTATGCTCTCAGCATTGTCATTCGAGATTTGCTTCATCTTCAATTAATACTCTTGCATCACATGTGTTGAGAAGATAATGTAAAACCTGGTGTTTTAGTGAGGCGGCGTGGTGGCAATGATTTAGGAGCTTTAGAGGGAGACCATGCCGTCTTGGAGGTGCGGCAACAAGTGCCGGATTCTTGCTAAGTGAATGACTATAAGGGCGCCCATTTTACGTCATGTCTGTGCCAAAGTGGACCTCGATAGCTGCAAGCGGATGACCTCAATCCAAGCACAGTGGCGAATTTTTGAAAGTATGTAATGCAGATAGCGTTAACTCTACAGAAGAGTAGGCCATCGTTGGAATCGTACACTACGGACTAAGACTACTGCGAAGCAGCGCCTGACGGGACGGGCCTATCCCATTACGACGTCTATCCTCCGATAGCGGTTTCTCACTGGAATCATCTCTTTGCACACATCAAGAGAAGACATGATACCAACTGAATGCAAGGTCTATGAAGCTCTTGGAGAAGCGCACACTCTACATCCACGACCCCTTCGTCAGAGATCTCAAAACTGTTGATTCGATATTTCTGACGAAGCCTTGTTCGGGTGATGTGCTAGGTGGCCACAGAAGGCAGAGGCTGTGTCGATCAACACATTACTTCTCCTGAGCTTCCTCTACTGAAGCAAATTGGCATGGGAGAGTACGTCGAGCCAGCTATAAGGAAGGCTACAGGGGTGGGAGATCATAAATTTTTTGAGCATGTTAGTTAAGTTGGACCACGAACTATTTCGATTTGACATGTGAACTTATACGCGATCGTAGCCTTCACCCAGTGTACGTGGCGTCATCGGTGACCGCCTTGTAGCTTCAACGCCGGCAGCTTGCACAGCGTTGATATTTGATTATAAATCTACGAAATAATAGGGCAAAAGTGGGTATCGTAGAACTCGTCATTTCTCAAAATCATTAACTCACCCTGACAATAAGAGGTGACAAGGGCAAAGCGCAGAACAAAAAAGTACACCAAACTGCTTTCAACGCTTGAGTGCGTGGGCGTCAAGATGGGTTTATACTTGTGCTCTAGGGGAACGTGTATAGGCCTATCTCCAAAGTCCCACACGAAAAATTTTACCGTCAGTAAACTCTTCTGAAACCGCGAAGTTCGGTTTTGTTCTTGGTAGTTTCATCCAGGACAATGCGGTGTGTACCTAGGCGGTCTGGTCCAACAGTAAAAGGATCTTTGACTGAGAGAGTGACTCCGGTCCCAAGCACACAATACCCGACAAGCGAGACAACGGTGAGCCAAATCATAATGCCACTGTACTATTTGAGGAGCCTCGGCTTTGGCGACTAGCGTCCGTTTTCCGGTATTCACCTGCTAGGAAAATAATATGTTTGAGACGTTTGCCTGACGCTGTAGAGTCTTCAACATGTTGCAGCTCGATTTGAGATGTGGACTAATGGGCTGAGGTTGCAGCTCAACTGAAAACAAGTAGCCCACATCGGCCAAACGTGGCTGCGTTTGGCAGAGGACGATGTCGCTCAACGTTAAAGCAGTGTCTTCCTGAAAGCTCTGATTGCAGGGGACTCATACTGAATTGAGAGCAGTGTAGGGCCGGGGGCTTGGGGGCGTTGGATTTATTGGGAGGAGGGGGAGGGGTAGTCTCTTGATAATTTTGACTTGATGACGTGTCTGCTCGAACACGTGCGTTAGCATAGCGAAAATACCATAATATAAAGTTCCTCAAGCATTCGGAGTATACCATCTGCTAACAAGATACCGTTCCCCCAATTCCGTTCTTAGAACATGAAACCGCGTATGCGAAGCGAAAGAGTACGATCTCTATACTTATAGAACTCAAAGTTTGTGACTTCCCTGTCCCTACGTTCGAAGAAAAATTTTTTGTGTTGCATGTACACATACGTTTAAGACACCAATAGAGAACATAATCTACTTTTTGCGGCTTTCGCTGGCCCGCTATCGAGTTATTGGCTTGTTTACGTATTTTTGAGAAAATGAAAGCTTATCATTTTCCACCAAGAAATTCTCATTGTCTTGTGAAGGGGAGAGGGGGGGGGGGTAAAGCTCATTGCAGAATCACTGGGATCCGATGGAACGAATTAAAGTTCTGCTCGTGAGTCATCCATAATATGAAGCGAAGCTGTCGTAGTACAGTACTCATGATGGCAACCAATACCACACCTTTCCAGTGAGGCAATTTCCTAGACTAAATCGAGAAACCCGCATAGCTGGTTATAGAAATTGAAAAGGATATCGAACTTTGAGAAATGGTAACTTTTTAGTGATTGAAGTAAATTGAGTGATATGGGACCGCGGTGCAAAACAAAATGCATGACAGCTCAACCAAAAAACATTTGAGCAAAATGTTGGTGAAGAGAAGAACGCGATGTGTATGTTTTCCAAGACAGCTAGTCCACGATAACAAACAGAAAAGAAATAAAAGAAACTTGATCATCATGAAGTGCGCGAAATAGCGAGCCTTATTAGGCGGAGGAGCAGAGACTGCACAGCTGGCGCAGCAGAGCAAGACAAAGAAATTGCATGTTAGCTTGAAGGTCAAAACTATGTAACCTCGAGTCATTTGTAACTTAATATGTGAGACTGCACACTAAGCTCTATCAGCGGCGGCACCTGTACGAGTAACTTCCCAGTGAAACATTTTCTAGCCTAACGAAGTGTAGGTTCTTCTGACTAACATATGACCAACTAAAACAAAAGAAACAAGGAAACAAGGAGAAATTACTGGAAATGAGCAGGTTCTAGTTTCGCAGTTCGTCAGTCAGCGTGTATAGTGTGCACTACGCATATTAAGCTACAAATGACTTAACGACACACGATTCAGTTCGAAGCAACTAATCCAAAATGATAATATACCAGTGCGTCACCTCCGCTTCGCGGAGGTTCGCACTGGCTCTGTTATCCGTATGCCTTATTCATGCTCCCAAAATGATGACTTTGAAACTCACCGCGCGAAGCTGTACATCATAAATGAATCGTAAACAACTGTTCATTCTTGAAGCATCTCCATGTTAGAACGGTAATTTTGAAAAAGAAAACTTTTTGCCAAGGACTAAATAGGAATTCGAACAGATTATTGAATTTATTTTGGCTTGGTAATTGTTGTGAAGATAATAGTCATTTTGGGCTACATTTCCATGCAAAAATCTTTTCAGATATTTGGGTAAAACCTTATCAAATCGACTCTCTACGCGATCACTACTTTTTGGCGCTGTTTTCGCGGAAAAGAAATTTTTTGAGCACTGTTTGAGCTAGAATTCTTGGAGCGCAGATTTGCTTGTCAAGCAAATCAGGACTTTGCAAAAAGTTGAATTTGTAACCTAGTTTTACGCGCCAAAAGCAGGGTGGACCCGTTTGAGGCGCAATTTTTGCAGAACCCGCTTATCAAACCGGCTCGTCCTTGCGCATGGTGGGTCCACATGCTGGTAGGGTATGTTATGCAAAGTTTTAGCTCGATAGCTTGGCTGCAGCTGCCTCTATGAATTTCGTGACAGACAGGCAAACACACGACACACACGCACAAAAAGACAGACGTTTAGCGCTATATATAAGTCATGATAGTTAGAATAGAAAAAACAAAATCACTGTCAATCTCATTTGTTCGGAGCCCCCGCTCTGGGGGAATTGAGCGGAATCGCGATAAAGTAGAACATTATGTTAGAATACCGAACTCAATGTAATAATACCGAGAACTCAGAGGTAACAACGATGGCATCACTTTCGCTAAAATCAACAAGAGTTAACTATAACTGCTATCTCTAGCATGCTCGAATAAATATTTCGATCTTACCACTTAATGAACCAATCAATCCTGACCAGTAAAATTTAGGATCGGGTAGCTAACCCAAGGCTCGTGCTTCTCAATGGACGCTTCAAGCGACCAACCTAGCTGATCTTCGAGAAATCTATATATTTATATATGAAATTCAAACTTTGTAAGTGTGTTCGTTTAGTTGTTTGTTCGTTATAGAAACGCTCGCTAATAAACCGATTGAGCTGGAACTTTGCATACATACGTAATTGGCTGCGGGGCTGGTTTAGCGCTACTTTTTGCGGCGATTCGCTGAGCCATTCTATTGATTCATTGATTTTCGGCATAAGAATGTGTTTTCGACATCGGCTAACAAGTCACTTCCATGATTTCATGTAAGCAATAGCAGTGGAGTTCAATTTTCGCGGTAAGAAAGATGCGGTGATTCACGAGCATACAGCCGGTGAGTTATTTTGATACAGAAACTCCTTGCTGCGCAACGTAATGGTCAGGTGGGAAGGGGAGGCGGAGGGAGGGGGGGGAGCTGGAGCAAAGATCAGCTAACGTGACCTGGGCTAGGGCGAGAAAACCAGCTAGTAACATCTAATACTATGCGCAGGCCCGCAGTTTGCAAATAATTCCTGTGCAGCCGCATCACCATTAAGCCAACTGAATTGGATACCATTCAATCAATTTAGCAAGCTTTCATATTAATTACAACACGTAGCCCGCAAAAACAAAAGAACAAAAGAGGGTTTCAAATTAGTAAAGTTATTAACCCTTTCGGACCTGATGGTGGCAATTGCCACCATCAATTCAGAGACAAGCTGTACTGCCGCAAGAAATCCATGTTACCAATCATTGCTATAAAACGCTTCATACAGCCTTTGTCTTCCAAATATAGCTTTGAAGCGTGTGTTCATTTGTACCAATCAATACTTCGCGCCAGCTTCAGCACCGTTTCAGGATCTCGTTTATTACCCAAAAAATAATCGTAATATTATCAGAATGTTCGAGTACAGTGTTGAGAAAGTCTAACTGTTGCTTGCTCGCTCTACATTTATCGACGGAGATTTGAAAATCCAAAATAAACGCAAAACCAAAAAATTAAAAAATCAAAAAGAAATAGTTTATGTGGTTGAAGAGAATTCAAACTCCGTTATTCATGTGGTCTCAGACAAACCACCGGAACTTCCGCAGGACAAGCCAAATTTGCAGAAGTTCCGCAGGATTTTGTTCACTATTGCAGAAATGAAAACGTTAAAAATCGGAACTTCCGCGGGATTTTCATGCCAAGCTGGTTGAAAACCGGAACTTCCGCAGAACCCTTTTCAAAATCCTGCGGAAGTTCCGAGAAATGCCAGAGGTTCCGCAGCACTTTGACATGCCAGAACTTCCGCAGGACTTTGAATGTGTAGTTTCGTGACGTTGCCTCGTCAACAACTAGAGTGCATTATCGAACACGTCAGCCGTAGCGTAGAGGATAGTAGGTGGGTCTCACCGTCAATAGAGTGAGGTTCAATCTCGCCCCGGTGTTCTCTTTTGCTGTTGTGGCTGGCATTCTTCGGAATTTCCGCAGGACCTCATTTCGGAACTTCCCCGCAGCACGTTTACGGAACTTTCGCAGGTGACCCGGCGGAACTTCCGCAAGCGCTCTGCGGAAGTTCCGGTCATTTGTCCGAGGTAGTAAGTACAAAATAGTGGGAGTGAAGCTTCTCTGCTTACTCGGAAAAACTCAGGTCCGAAAGGGTTGAAGTAGCAAATACCAATAGGAAATGTTAAGCTCATCTCGCCGGGGTATTCATCTTTTGATTCGTATGAGAGGTCCAGGATAGCTGCCACCACTGTATGGGCCTAATACCAGCAGCCGGTTTCCACTAAAACATTGACAGAGGTAGATGATTCTTTGTTGAATCAAAGAGCATACTACATGGCAAAGAGGCTGATTGTGGTCTCGCTGACAGTTGAACGGTTCATGTCGTGCAATCAAGACGAAAAGTTGTTGATGGTTTTGAAGCTTTGTCATTAAATGCCGCACCGCCGTAGGTCCAGCTTCAAACGAGATGAATTATCATCAGAAACTTGGCTTCGAAAAGCGCGTAAGCGTACTCTCACTTACATTACATTTGCAAGTTCAGAGTACCTCAAACTCACTCGATTTGAAGTTGCTACTAACGAATATAGGATTGGAAGTTCAATCACACTTGAACCACGAATTCATCATGGCCTCAACCGTACTCAATATGCATGCAAAATTCGTATACAAATTATTCAAGATTCTGTTCTGAGCAAAACGAACTTTTGGGGTACGATGCGTTGCAAACGACTTTTGGAAACGCAAGGATACAATTTGTCATTGTTCGGCATCCCGTTCACCGATTTCTAAGTGGATTCGTCGACAAATGCATTAGGTAACATCACTCATAATCGACATATCATTTCATATTGACCGGCGAAAATTAGTGGATAAGGCCTAAGCTGCTGTCTGCAACTTTTACAGTGAGCGGCAATCAGAGGAAACACGTTGCTTCAACTGTAGCAACATGAACTGCTTTGTTGAGAAACTCCATGCTTTGATAATTAAAACAGTTGATGAAAACTCGACGGAGTACGATTACGAAGTTGCTCATTTTGCACCACAGACCTGGTATGTTGCTGGAATCAAGTGATATGCGTTTTTGTCTAGCATTTTAGGTACTGCAATTTCAAGGACCATTATCGCGATTACATCATCTTACGACATGAGGAAGAATCCAACGTAGTCCTTGCACAAAAGCTCGATGCAATTTTCAAACATGTGAATACTCGCGAACTCTGGAGACGTATTATACTTACGGAGCTCCTCGGTAGGCAGTTTTTAGAAATAGAAACTAAAATCATATCCTTTCCTATTCTTAGGCATTTATCAAGATATGCACTGATATCAAAGGTCACTTTTTCCAAGGGTGGTGGAGATCACCAAATATGTCCAAATTGATTAAGTGCCCAAAAAAGTGTTGAAGATCCAGGGAGATTTTGCACGCCGCAACACCTACGGACAACACTTGACGAAGAAACTACGGTTGATAAACTATTGTTTTGAAGTATTGTGTAGACAATGTCCGACTTTCTATTCGTTGTTTCTATCACTTTTGTTGAATTTATTAGGTGGGTCTGAAGGTTTGTGCCGTTTTTTACCTGTTCTGAAATCGTTCAGAATGAAGGTAGACAAATCGTTTTCAGTTTCCGATGCAGAATCAGAATCTTCCTCTTTCCAGCAGCTATTTACACGTTGTGATTGCTTCGAGGAGCGCTAAGATAATTGCCAAAAACTAGAACCCTTCATTTTTATCATGTCGGACTTTCACTAATTCTCAGAATTTCCATTTTAGACTCTTGAAGGTGCTCTAATAATCACCTGACAAGGCAAACCTTTTCCAAATCAATTTTTTGCATTTTTTCGGCTTCCTCTTTAGAATTTTGCTGAGTTATTTCACCAGAGCATCATATTTTGAGAGAATCGCGTGACACATAATTGCACCAAACACTGCAAAATCCTCAAGTTAATGAATTTCTAAAACTCGATTATTGATATCACTAGTACTACGGAGTAAATGAGCAATTACGGCGCGAAAATGGATAGAATTTGGATTTTCGACTACAACCTTGCGCACATGTAAAATTGGGAAGGACAGCGATTTTGTCCTCGAAAATCGCATGTTTCGCGAAGGAAAGGAAGTTGTCAGAAAGAGGAGAGAAGGATACATCGAATGATAGATACCTAAACTGTTCAACGTCTAATGTTTTGCGAGGTTAAGATGAGCCAAATATAAAATTTAGTCACTCCAGAAAATATATTTTAATAATTCTAGAAAGCAGAGAGATGCAAATTGCATTGATTTGAAAAAAGGTTTGCCTTATCAGGTGCTGATTAGAGCACCTTCAAAAGTCTAGAATGAAAATTCTGAAAATTAGCGAAATTCAGACATGGTAAAAATGAAGGGTTCTAGTTTTCCGCAATTATCTCAGCGCTCGTCGAAACAGTCACGACGGAATCATAGCTGCTGGGAAGAAATGCTGCATCGGATACCGTTTAAACGACTTGTTCGTCTCCATTTTGAACGATTTTAGAACAGGTCTAAAAAACGACCTATCTAATAGAATTATGTAGAAAAGCGTGGGGTGTTACCAACAACAAGGGAAGGATGGTTGGTCGAAGTGGCCTTTTAGGATGCTCAGACAATCAAGGGCTCTCAGCCGGCCCACCAAAAGCGTCGTTTGCCTTATCGCCGCCACTTTTCGCTTTCCGCTGAGAACTTTGCTAGAACTGGCAGCGAGCAGGCTGCCATAAAGTCTGCAGTGCGAAGCGAATGTGGCGGCGATGAGGCAACGACGCTTTTGGTGGGACCGCCTGAGAGCCTTTGATTGTCTAAGTGGGTTGTCCACCGTGGTGGAGCACATAAAACGCTGGTTCCAAATCTGCCTTCCTTATCTGCTACGCGTTCCTAAACGAGGAGTTATGAGCGTTTAAAGGAGCAAAAAATGAGTGCTTTTCTGGGATAAAAACGATTGCTAAAATTTTTCCATCGCTTGAATGAGACAGCTAAAGTGCGGATATATCTCACCTATGAGCATTTTTTAAAGAGCGCTGGAAAGATTACCACTGGTTCATTTGAGCGCTGGATATAATGTTACTACTGTTTTTGTATTATTAGGTTGTCCCGAAAGTTTTGTCGGTTTGTTTCATCGCTCATTAAAACTCACAGAACAGCAATCCATGGGCGGCTTAGGTACCATTCGATTCAGATTTCTATCCTCTTTCTTAAAGTTGTACTTGGTCTTCGATCTACCATGTCTTTGCAATGTTATCGCCTTGGTTTTTGAGAGCACAGCAGTAACGCCAAATCTTTCCTGAATTTTAGAATTTTTTATTCTGATGTTTCCAAAGGCGCTGGTAACCATAACGTAGAGCAAACCTTCGGTTACATTGTATCCATTTTAAATTACATGAACCGCGTCTACCAAGTCAGTTATAATTATTTGTTTGATAAAAACCGCGGCTTTTTGATTAAGTTTAACAAGTAAAAGTGCCATAAATTCCAAGAAGCT